CTTAACCGGCATCGGGTGCTGTGCGGCGGGAGCTTGCAGGGTGCTGGGGGCAGCACCCATGGGTGCTGATGCTGTGCCGGGAACCTCTGGCAGCACTGGGCATCAGGCAAGAGGCAGAGCAAAGCCACCGCTCTGCCCCATCCCCAGAAAGACAGCAGGACTGGGCAAACTGGGAACCCAGTGCCCTTTCCAGGCTGGCATGTAACAGGGAACTGGATTTGGGGTGGGGGGTGTCACCCCAACACCCCGGTGGCCATCCCCCCCGCCCAGCCATCCTCTACATGGCCGTGAAGGCGTCGCTCCGCTCCCGAAATGCTGGGATTTTCTCCCAGAAGGAAGAAAACCCCTCAAAGCGTTTTCACTCCCGAGATCCCCGGTGCTGAGCAAACCCGAAGCAGACGCTCGTTCAGATGATCGCCCGCAACCGGGGGCTTTTACGGCGGGTTGGCGCACGGGACCGTAAAAGGCTTTAACATTGCTAATCTCCATCGGCAAGGGAGAAGGAAAAAAGGGAAAAAGAAACGACAAGATGATAACCACAGCCCGGTTTCTCCCCCTGCCCTGCACCACGGCTCCTCCGGCATCACCCGGGAGAGACGATGCTCTTCTGAGGAGCGGGAAAGCGCAGTCCCTGAATGACCCAGCTGCAGATTCCCCCCGTCCCCATCCAGGGGGACATCCCGCAGCCCAAGCCTGAGGTCACAGAGGTGGTGATGGGAACGTGGCCAACTGTCCCCTGCACGGCCTCAGATGGATGACCACCTGGTGGGAACCCTAAACGTGCAGCCACATCTCTCCAGCAGCACTTCTCCCGCTCCACCAAGCTCCGATTGTCCCATCCAACACCCCTCCCGCCCCTTGCCCAGGCTCTTCTCCTCCACCGAGTGCCACAGGGATGATATTTACTCCCCACCGGCGCTCCCAAGCTCTCCTTGCCACCGCGCTCCTTCGCCAGCCCTCGTAAACAACCCCGTCGGGCTTCGGGAAGGCCATTAATCACCCCCCTTCGCACAGAAGATCAATGACGCTTTGATGGATGCCGAAGGAAAAGCCAATCAGTCAGGAACTTATCGGTTTATGATTGCTCGGCCCCATTATTAGTGCTTGTGTGTCATACATTATTGTTAGGAAAATGGAGGAATCTAATTCATAGATGAGCTATGGCGGGCGTGCGAGGGGTCGGCTGACACCGGGGAGTTTTATACCAGGTCAGCTATACATCTATTTACCTCGAAAACCTGCTCGGAGCTGTGGCAAGCGCTGAAATCGAGGGGCTACCTGTCCTTGGGGGATTCGGAGCCGTTGGCAGCTGAGAACACCGTTTCCTTGGCACGTCACCCAGCCTGGCACACCGAGGAGTAATTCAGGTGATGCTCACTCTTTGCTTCAGATCATGGCCTACCATCACCTGCCTCCCCCCTCCGCTGCTCTTTTGTAGGGTAAATCCTATAAAAATGAACGATTCCCACCTGCTTCCAATGATTCCATTCTCAGCTGCTGTGAGGAGCTGAGCACACACAGCCAGGACATTGCTCCTGCTCCTTGTCCCCTCTGCAGCGCCTGCTCCGGCATCCCTCGGGGTGGCCACAGTGTCCCATCCCACCGTGGTCCATGTGTCCCATCCCACTGTGGTCCATCTGCCTCATCCCATCAGGGTCTGTGTGTCCCATCCCATCAGGGTCCATGTGACCCATCCTACTGGGGTCCACGCGTCCCATCCCACCAGGTTCCATGTGTCCCATCCCACCAGGTTCCATGTGTCCCATCCCAACAGGGTCCATGTGACCCATCCTACTGGGGTCCATGCGTCCCATCCCATCAGGGTCCGTGTGTCCCATCCCACCGTTTTCCACATGTTCCATCCCACCAGGCTCTCCACATCCCAGCCCGGGGGAAGAAGCTAACAGACATAAGATGCTCAGAGCAAGCAGTACTGGGGGAGGGAGAGGAAGGTGATGGTCCCCAGCTGGGGAAGGCCAGGCAGAAGTGACCACCTGGGCCGGGGGGAGGCACATGGGCAATTTTGGAAGGGACAACAGCGCAGCTCCTCCTGGGGACGAATTCTCAGGCTTTCCATGGGGAGACCAACCTGATCGAAGGCGTTCAGGATTTACCCCGTGAGCCATTTCCCATTAAAAACAAGCGACCACCCGACCAGCCGAGCAGGGCAGCGCCGCGCACCAAGGCACCCGGTGACAAGCACGCCGCGGCGCTGGCACGACCTGGCTTGGGGGTGCCGAAAAGCTGGGGCAGGAGGGACGCCCGTCCCTTTGGGCACCCCGGGGCCGGCCGGCTCCTCACCAGGACACCGCAGCCAGGGATGACGGCACGGCGGGAGGGTGTGGGGGGACACACGGCCGGGACAGACAGACGGCGGTGACGGCCGGACCCCCATACAGCACGGGAACGGGCAGAAGGTGCAGCTGGAGCCCCGCCAGCCACCGGGGCCAGGCCGGGGAGACAATAGCGGCGGCAGCATCCGATCGGCGGCGCTGATGGGATTGGGAGCCCATGTGAAACTGCCGTATTAATATTTATTCCATAAAGCGCGCGGCTCCCAGCTTTGCGCGGCTCCGCCGCGCTCTGACCGCAGTACCAACCCTGCGGCACCGCAAACACAATTTGAAAACAATGTGACGGAAATGTTTAATCTGCTCAGCCCATCTGTGCTGCGTATTTCTCCAGATCTCCCTGAGAGAGGCGCCTTCGAATCTCCACATTGCCTTTAATATTCTCCTAAATCACCTCCCCACTGCACTTCAAGGGCCATTGCTACAATATCACAGGTTCATCGAGAGTGCACGGGAGAAAGGAGGGGGGGGGATTTTTTATTTTAAAATATTTCCCAGGGATGGTGTTCCTGTGCCCCTCGGACAGGCGAGAGCGGGGGAAAGAAAAAAAGGGGGGGGTTTGGTTTGAAATCCGAGGGAAGTTATTGTGCTGTTGCTGGGAGGCGATTAGCGGGGCTGTTTAGAAGCAAACAGGCTGGAATGGAGCAAAAATCATTTCCAAAGAATCGCTTTTATTAATCTCCTTCCTCGGCCCCTCGCTTTCGCGTGCGGCTGCTGCTATTCCTCTCTCCGGAGAGCCCCATCCTGCTCCGAGCTTCACGTGCAAAACGGGCGCGGATGCTCCGGTGAGGGGGGGACACCCTGAAGTAGCGGCAGCCTGGGGTGGGGGTGGCTGGTCCCACACTGCTGTGTCCCCCGACCCCGGCACAACGGTGACCTACAGCCGAGATGCTCCAGCTCAGGCGCATCCCCACTCCCTGCCTCAGTTTCCCCATCACACCAAGACTCTTCCCCGCCCCCATGA